TTTTCTGCATAAATTGGATGTATCATTTACTACCTTTTGTCGATTGTGAAATGAGTTGAAAAGTCTTATGACGTTATTGAAATGAAGCTTTTGTGAATGCTTATATTAAAGGTTTTGTGAAGAGGATTAGCCGAGGGCTATTCTTGTTACGAAATGTTTTGTGAAATGGATTTATTGGTGTTGATTATGGATTTCTGGATTGAGTTATAAGTTGCTGCTGCTCGTATTCCTATGTTGAGAACCCGTTGAGGGGGGAGTATGCATACTGTCAGGATATCCTTTTGGGCCGAACCGCCGGCTTATAATAGGTGGTAGACCTTGCCAAGAGGAGTAAACTTAGTCGCCTTTGTCACGGCGTTAAACTTGACCATAGTTTGATGACGAGCATGAGATTGGTTGATGGATGAACCATCAACGTGTTATGTGATGAGATTAGTCAATGGATAGACCATTGATGATTGGCTATTGTTGTTAAGTGAGTTTTTATTGTGTAATCTGATACGGATGACTTTTATTGAAAAGTTATTATACCTTTGAGATATTTTTGGCTATATTGTACATTGAGTTTGAGTTATGGGTTGTGACATTTTTGATACTATTGCATAGTGATTGTTTGGTCCGCTTAGAAGAAATATGTTACTCACTGAGCCGTGGTAGCTCACCCCTTATCTTACATACCTTTCAGGTTCTTCTGCTGGCCGAAAGTAGGGCGTGAGCGGGCGTTAGTCGGAGGATTTCTTTTTGATTGTGGGATTTTGGGTACGTTGTACATAGTGACGTTGAGCTATTGGAATAGCTTTTTGTTGGATTTGTATATATCCTTTTGATGGTTTTAGAAAGCTCTGATGTTATTCGGGTTTTGTTTAAGTTGAGGCTGCGTCCTTTGGGTGAAAGGACGGCAGTGTTATGATCCCGTTTTGGTTGTGTTCGGGGTGTGACATTTGTTGGTATCAGAGCGTAGGTTATGATTTTTGGGTGGGACGTTGTGAGATTGTGTGATAGACTTTAATGCATTAGTTTTAGATACTAAGGTGTATTCTTGATTCTGGATTTAGGTAATTATGAGTTTCAAGTCGGAGCCGCTTATCTCTTTTCGTAAGAATAATAAGGGAAAGAGAGCCATTACCTTCGACTCGAGAGATGTGCCTCGAGGTCCGAGAGTAAGGTCTCCGACAAGAAGGTGAGATGACGTAGGAGCAGACTCGCAAGAAATAAGAGGGGAAAGTCAACAGCCAAGGGCCCAAGACGTTGTAGTTGAAGCTGGTGAACCTGGGAGTGGCAGAGGCTACACCTTTGCCCAGTTTAGAAAGTCAAAGCCGCCCACTTATGATGGGAAAACTGATCCTCTTGCAGCTGAGCGATAGATTAGGAAGATAGAGGGAATATTCAGAGTTGAAGAAGTTCCGAATGATAAGAAGGTGGACTTTGCCACCCAATATTTGGAAGGTGAAGCTGAGTATTGGTGGGAAGGAAAGAGGTCCACTCTTGGAGATGAAGATGCTACTATTTCTTGGAAGTACTTCAAAGAAGCGTTCAACGCCCAGTTCTTTCCAAAATCCTTCCAAGCAAAGATGAAGGGCGATTTTCTGCATATATCGCAAGGTGATTCTTCTGTTTTAGACTATGTGGGTCGCTTCAATCAGATGAGCAGGTTTGCGGGGCATTTTATGGCAAATGAGAAGGAGAAAGCTGAACATTTTTTTAGAGGACTTCGACCTGAGATTCGTTTTACACTCGCATCTCTTTTACTCACCACTTATGAGGATGTCCTAGAGCGAGCAATTAAGATTGAACAAGAGATCATGGAGAGTGGCACCCAGGGTATTCCTCAGCCCAAGAGGCCGAAGTTCACTAATTTCCAAGAGATCCGTATTCGTGACAGCAACAAACAAAGAAGCACTAGTAGGTTTGAAAGGGGGAAGAGTCAAACTGTTCAGGGTGCTTGCATTACTTATGGGAAATATCATAGTGGCCAATGCTATTGGAAGCGGGGAACTTGTTTTCTATGTGGGAAGATGGGACACATGCGGCAGAATTGTCCAATACAGAGAGATACTCCAGCAGGTAGTAGATTATGCTTTGTATGTGGACAACCTGGTCATATAGCTCGCTTTTGTTCCATGAGGAAGGATGTTCCCTCAGTGGGTAGGCCCCAGGAGAATCAGCCAAAACAAAGGGCGACAGGGAAGGTTTATGCGATGACGGAAGAGGATGCGGCAGCGTCTAACACAGTAGTTGCCGGTAATATCTCAATTACCTCGCAATATGCTTATGCATTGTTTAACCCTGGTGCTACGCATTCTTTCATTTCTACTGAATTCGCAAAGAAACTTGATATGCTACCTGATCCTCTTGAATATGAATTGCGTATTGAGACCCCTACGAGTGACTTCGTTATTGTGGACCGTGTATTTAAGCGATGTATGCTTCTGGTCGATAATGTTCAAATGCCTGGAGATTTGATGTTGTTGAATATTCGAGATTTTGATGTTATTTTAGGGATGGATTGGCTATCAACATATCATGCTATTGTTGATTGTCATTCAAAGAAAGTTAACTTTCGACTCCCAAATGAGCCCGAATTCTCTTTTTCGGGAAGTTGTAAGGGTACTTTTCCAAGATTAATATCGGCAGTGCAAGCGAGGAAGCTTCTAAGGAAAGGTGGTTATGGATATCTAGCTTGCGTAAAAGACACCAGTAAAGAAGTTGTGAAGCTGGAAAATGTTCCAGTTGTTAGAGAATTTCCTAATGTGTTTCCTGAGGATTTGCCAGGCTTGCCACCTGATAGAGAGATTGAGTTCTCTATTGATCTGATGCCTGGTACAGGACCTATCTCGAAGGCACCATATCGGATGGCACCATCTGAATTGAAAGAATTGAAAACACAGCTGCAGGAATTATTGGATAAGGGCTTTATTAGGCCCAGTGCCTCGCCTTGGGGAGCTCCAATCCTATTTGTGAAAAAGAAGGACGGTAGCATGCGGCTTTGTATAGATTACCGCGAACTCAATAAGGTAACGATCAAGAATAAATATCCTTTGCCACAGATTGATGATTTGTTTGATCAACTTCAGGGAGCTCGGGTATTTTCTAAGATCGACCTTCGTTCTGGATATCATCAATTGAAGATTAAAGCAGATGATGTATCTAAAACTGCTTTCAGAACGAGGTATTGGCATTATGAATTTCTTGTCATGCCTTTTGGATTGACAAATGCACCTGCTGCTTTTATGGATTTGATGAACAGGGTATTCAAACATTACCTCGACCAATTCATTGTGGTGTTCATTGATGATATCCTGGTGTACTCGAGGAGTTTGGAGGAGCACGAACAACACTTGAAAGCTTGTCTTGCAGACCTTGCGTGAGAAGAAATTGTTTGCTAAATTCAGTAAGTGCGCTTTCTGGCTTGATCATATTGAGTTCTTGGGTCATGTTATCTCGAAGAATGGCATCGCAGTTGACCCAAAGAAAGTTGAAGCGGTTGTTCAGTGGAATCGCCTTACCAATGTAACAGAAGTGAAAAGTTTTCTTGGGCTAGCTGGCTATTACAGGAGATTTGTGGAGGGATTCTCCAAAATAGCTGGTCCACTTACTCGCCTAACTCAAAAGGGAGTTAAGTTTGTATGGTCTGATAAGTGTGAGCGCAGTTTTCAAGAATTGAAAAGGCGGTTAGTGACGGCTCCCATATTAACCTTACCTTTAGGAACCAGTGGCTTCACAATTTATTGTGACGCATCTAAAGAAGGTTTAGGGTGCGTTCTTATGCAGGACGATAAAGTGGTGGCCTATGCTTCTAGACAGTTGAAGACACATGAAAAGAACTACCCCACTCATGATCTTGAATTGGCAGCAGTTGTATTTGCTTTGAAAATATGGCGACACTACTTGTATGGTGAGAAATGTGAGGTCTTTACTGATCACAAGAGTTTGAAGTACATCTTTACTCAGAAAGAATTGAACATGAGGCAGAGGAGATGGTTAGAACTCTTGAAGGATTATGACTTATCCATCAATTATCACCCAGGTAAGGCAAATGTAGTAGCGGATGCCTTAAGTCGTAATTTTCTGGAAACATGGCAATGTTGCTCACTTCTCAGCAGCCTATCCTTGAGGATATGAGGAAGCTAGATTTGGAGGTGTTGGTGCATCAATTGGGTGCTCAGATAGCTAATCTTCGAGTACAACCGACATTGATTGACAAAATTAAGGCTAAACAGAATGATGATTCTCAGTTGGGAAAGATCAGAGAAGGCGTAAAAGCTGGGAGACAGTTGGATTTTAGTATTCATGTAGATGGGTCATTGAGGTTTCGTGGTTGGCTATGTGTTCCTGATGATCCTGAGTTGAAAAAGGAAATATTGCAGGCAGCTCATGGTACTAAATACTCGATTCATCCAGGAAGTACTAAGATGTATAGAGATTTGAGAGGACATTTCTGGTGGGTCAACATGAAGAAAAACATTGTAAAGTTTGTCGATCAATGCTTGGTTTGTCAGTAAGTAAAGATTGAACATCAGAAACCAGGTGGATAACTACATCCACTTGAGATACCTAAGTGAAAATGGGAGCATATTACCATAGATTTCATCGTCAGTTTACCGAGAACGCCAAGCGGTAAGAATGCTATATGGGTGATTATCGACCGATTGACTAAATCGGCACACTTTTTGTCGTATCGATTTGGCCTTTCACTTGAAGACATGGCTAAGCGGTACGTCAATGAGATAGTGAGACTTCATGGGGTTCCAGTGAGCATAGTTTCTGATCGAGATCCTAGGTTTGTATCCAACTTCTAGAAGAGCTTACAAAGGGCGTTGGGTACTAAACTCAACTTCAGTACAGCTTTTCATCCACAGACAGACGGGCAATCGGAGAGGACGATTCAGACGTTAGAGGATATGCTACGATCCTGTGTTATTAACTTCGGTGGTTCATGAGATGACCATCTTCACTTAGCAGAATTCTCCCATAATAACATCTACCATTTCAGTATTAAGATGGCACCTTTTGAAGCACTGTATGGTCGAAAATGCAGAAGTCCGGTTTGTTGGGACGATGTTGGTGAGAAGAGGTTGACTGGCCTTGAGTTTATACAACAATCAGAAGAAAAAGTCAGGTTGATTCGAGAGCGACTGAAAACAGCTCAAAGCCGTCAGAAAAGCTATGCAGACCTTAAAAGGCGCAAGATAGAATTTGATGTGGGAGATCACGTGTTCCTAAAGGTTTCACCTATGAAGGGTGTTATGAGATTTGGCACTCGCGGGAAACTAAGTCCAAGATATGTGGGACCGTTCTTGATATTGGAGAAGATTGGTGAAGTTGCTTATAAACTGGCTTTGCCACCAGCATTATCTGGAATTCATAATGTGTTCCATGTATCTTTATTGCGAAAATATGTGACAAATCCTGAACACGTATTGGATTTCACTCCTTTGAGGTTAAGAGAAAACCTGACATATGAAGAACGGCCTATTCGCATTGTGGATAAGACGGAGCAAGTGCTGCGGCGATGCACAATCCCTTATGTGAAAATTCAATGGCAAAATCATACTGAGAGAGAGGCCACATGGGAGCTTGAGGAGGAAGCAAGAAACAAATACCCTCATATGTTTGAAAGTTAAGGTAAGGCTAAATTTCGAGGACGAAATTTTTTAAGGAGGGTAGAATGTAACATTTGCCTTTTCTTTTGACTAGGTCAAAAGACTTAGGCTGAAGGAGGATTAAAAAAAAAAGTCAAAAAGTGAAGATAAAAGGAAGAAAGCAGCGGCTGGTCGCGGGAGAACAGAAGAAAAACAGAGGAAAAGAAAAGCAAAAAGGAGAGGAGAAAGGGAAGAAATGAAAGGGAGGGTTTGTGCGCGTGGGTCCTCGCCAAGCCGTTCCGACTATGTAACGCAACGACTAGTAAGTACTCGCAACCCTCGTTAGTCCTATCGGAGTAATTTTTCGATTAGGGCTCGGAAATAAGAGTTTTGTGGATTTGAGCTGCGTAGTCCAAGTTTTTGGGTTGTCAAGTCTTAAATATCCATGAAAATGAAAGATTATGGTGTTATGGGGCTGTGCGTTTTGACGGATATCGATTTGGAGTTACGGTTTGTCCGGAATCAAATTTTCAAGTTGAGAGCATAATCTGGAATTTCGTGAACAGTACTTTCCAGGGCTTTTATTGTCGTTTTTGGGCTGTTGTTTGGGTTGGCTGTGTTGGGACATCCATAGTATACTAGATGAGTTTCGTTTTGACTATAAGAGCGCGCAAAACGGAGTCCGGTGGAGGAAGTTATGATGCGTGAAAATTTGGCGCGCAAGTAGTTCGTCGTGGTTGGCATTAGATTTTTTTCCTTTGAGCAAGCCGTCGTGGGCACATGGGTGTTGGATTATTGGCTAGTTAGCCTTAGCTTATTCGAATTGCGCGTTAGGGGGAATTATTACTCGGTTTTGATTCGTTTTCCGTATGTTTGATAGGATTTTGGAACCGTCGGCTCGAGTAACACATATGGGTTAGTTTTTGGATTACCAGGTGAGGGACATTATATCTTCTATGAATTTACAAATTCATATTTTGATAATGGATATAATTTTTAATACAGTGGAGCATGTTTTCTGCATAAATTGGATGGATCATTTACTACATTTTGTCGATTGTGAAATGAGTTGAAAAGTCTTATGACGTTATTGAAATGAAGCTTTTGTGAATGCTTATATTAAAGGTTTTGTGAAGAGGATTAGCCGAGGGCTATTCTTGTTGCGAAATGTTTTGTGAAATGGATTTATTGGTGTTGATTATGGATTTCTGGATTGAGTTATAAGTTGCTGCTGCTCGTATTCTTATATTGAGAACCCGTTGAGGGGGGAGTATGCATACTGTCAGGATATCCTTTTGGGCCGAAGCGCCGGCTTATAATAGGTGGTAGACCTTGCCAAGAGGAGTAAACTTGGTCGCCTTTGTCACGGCGTTAAACTTGACCATAGTTTGATGACGAGCATGAGATTGGTTGATGGATGAACCATCAACGTGTTATGTGATGAGATTAGTCAATAGATAGATCATTGATGATTGGCTATTGTTGTTAAGTGAGTTTTTATTGAGTAATCTGATACGGATGACTTTTATTGAAAAATTATTATACCTTTGAGATATTTTTGGCTATATTGTACATTGAGTTTGAGTTATGGGCTGTGACATTTTTGATACTATTGCATAGTGATTGTTCGGTCCGCTTAGAAGAAATATGTTACTCACTGAGCCATGGTAGCTCACCCATTATCTTACATACCTTTTAGGTTCTTCTGCTGGCCGCAAGTAGGGCGTGAGCGGGCATTAGTCGGAGGATTTCTTTTTTATTGTGGGATTTTGGGTACGTTGTACATAGTGACGTTGAGCTATTGGAATAGCTTTTTGTTGGATTTGTATATATCATTTTGATGGTTTTAGAAAGCTCTGATGTTATTCGGGTTTTGTTTAAGTTGAAGCTGCGTCCTTTGGGTGAAAGGACGGCAGTGTTATGATCCCGTTTTGGTTGTGTTCGGGGTGTGACACTGGTCCTCTTTGGGTTGCTGAAGAACAGTTGGCATAGAGTTGTTTTGCCAATCCCGCCGTTCCCCACCACACCAATCGCCTTGAATTTGTCGGAGCTAGGTTTCTTGATCAGAGATTCCAGTAACACCAGTTCGCTATCAAACCCGTGATCTGCTGGCAGAGGAATTGGACCGGAAACTTCTCGGCTCTTCGTCGAGCATCCGCCATTGCTATCTTGTGGAGTATTATTGCTCCTGCTAGTTCCCAATTTGTGCTCAAGTTCCACCTGAATCTTCTCCAGGCTGCTCTTTATTCTGTATTTGGTCAAAATCTACTTCTTTGATAGTGTCTGGCACTCGGTCAGGATATTGTTGAGGGGCAAAAGTACACCAGAAGTGCCATAACTTGTGTACAGCGATCACTTTGGTGCCATAACTTTTTTTCGGATCACTTTGGTGCCAAGTCGGAGGAAAAGAGATCACTTTAGTGTCAATTTGGCCGGAAATCCGACGTGGCATTTTTTATTAATTTTTGACCCCGACGTGGCTCGCCGGAGGCTGAGTCAGCGTGTACAGTCAGCATTTTTTATTTTAAATAAATTTTTCCAGCGTGTACAGTCAGCATTTTTAATTTTAAATATTTTTTTCCTTTTTTTTTCTCTTCTTTCCTTTTTCTTTTCTTTTCTTTTTTTTTCTTTTCTCCCCTCGCCGGCCGGTTGCCGGTGGCCGGCCGGCCACCGGCGAAGCCCGGGAAGGGCTGGGCGAGGGCGGCCTTGCCCATGGCCGGCGAGGGGCGGCCTCGCCGGAGACAGGCGAGGCCGCCTCTCGCCGGCCCGAGCGAGGCCGCCTCGCCGGATCCGGCGAGGCGAGCCTCGCCGGCGTCGGGCTAGGGTCGCCCACGCCCGGCTCGGGCGAGGGCGACCCTCGCCCGCCCGGGCGAGGGCTTCCCTCGCCCGACCCGGCGAGGGTCGCCTCGACTAGATCCGGTGAGGGACGGCCTCGCACGGGCGGCGAGAGCGGCCTCGCCTGTCGCCGGCGAGCCGCCCTCGCCGGCCATGGGCAAGGCCGCCCTCGTCCAGTCCTTCCCAGGCTTCGCCGGTGGCCGGCCGGCGAGGGGAGAAAAGAAAAAGGAAAGAAGAGGAAAAAAATATTTAAAATTAAAAATGCTGACTGTACATGCTGGAAAAAATTATTTAAAATAAAAAATGCTGATCGTACACGCTAACTCAGCCTCCGGCGAGCCACGTCGGCGTCAAAAATTAATAAAAAATGCCACGTCGGATTTCCGGCTAAATTGGCACTAAAGTGATCATTTTTCCTCCGACTTGGCACCAAAGTGATCCGAAAAAAAGTTATGGCACCAAAGTGATCGCCGTACACAAGTTATGGCACTTCTTGTGTACTTTTGCCATGTTGAGGTAATAGAGATTGTCGCTGATCGATTTTTCCTCGCATGAAGATGAGCTGAGTCCATCTTTAAGCGGTTTCTTCAGCTTCTGGAAGTCTTTGTATAATGCAACTTTAGGGTTTATTCCATCTTGGAACTTCTTGAGCAGGTACAGCTCGATCTCTCGAGCCATAATAACGCCTGAATTCGTCCTCATTTCTTCTTCAAGAGGTTTTGGAGGAAGAGAGACATGACTGTCCGAAGGCATTTTTACTCGAATCTGTTTGTATGCTGTCAGATGATATGCCTCCAAGAATGTACACCCAGAAAAAGTAATTCTGGAGTTCTGATAAAATCAATAGAGAGGCTCTTGTTTCTTTCAGAGCCTTGAGGGTTACCTTAAAAACCCTCCGAAATAACTAACTTTATACATAAAAGCTTTCTTTTTATTAATGTCCTTAACAGTTGGCCAGTTGGTAATGATTAATTTAAAAGTTGGTCTGTTAAGGCGCGCATGGAATCCATTCTGGAACAGAAATTCTGCTCCAGAATGCATTCCGGAACAGAAATGCATTTGTTAAAATAATTTTGGAATGCATTCTGGAGCAATTTTTGCATTCTGAAATAAAAACGCGTTTGGTAAAACTTCATTCTTTTTTTTGCTCTAGAATGAATTTTTGCTTCCAGAATGAGTTTTGGCCCAAAAAAGAGAAGCTACTTTTTGTAGCTTCTCTCTTCCAGAATGCATTCTAGCCAAAATTTCCTTTTTTACAAGAAATAAAAAATTTCAAAAAATGAAAAAATCAAAAATTTCAAAATTTCACAAAATGGCTTAGAATACCTGTGGCCATCCACTTTGAGTGAAATTTAAATTTTTGAGGTGCTAAAAAAAGAAAAATAATAAAAAATAAAAATTTCAAAACTTCACAAAATGGCTTAAAATACCGTAGCCACCCACTTTGAGTGAAATTTAAATTTTTTAAGGTGCCCAAAAAAATAAAAAAAATAAAAAATTTCAAAACTTCACAGAATAGCTTAGAATATCTGTAGCCACCCACTTTGAGTAAAATTTAAATTTTTTGAGGTGCCCAAAAAAATAAAAAAAAATAAAAAAATTCAAAACTTCACAAAATGGCTTAGAATACCTGTGATCACCCACTTTGAGTGAAATTTAAAATTTTTAGGTGCCAAAAAAAATTAAAAAAAAAATCAAAAATTTCAAAACTTTACAGAATGGCTTATAATACATGTGGCCACCCACTTTGAGTAAAATTTAAATTTTTTTAGGTGCAAAAAAAATCAACAAATCAAAATAGATTTCTGTTCCAGAAATCAATTTCTGGAGCAGAATTAGTCATGTTTTACCAAACAGATTTCTCCTCCAGAAATCAATTTCTAGCAAGAATTCCAGAAATCAATTTCTGGCAAGAATTTGATTTCTGGAGCAGAATGGTTACCATTCGCACCCTTAGTCTACATTCACACCTACACCAGATAAATGGGGGTGACCTTAATTCAATTACTCCAAATTTGAATTTTCTGCTGAGATCGTTCTTTGTATAAACATTATAGAGGGAGATCATTGGTATGATCATCCAATTTTGAATGGTCAAACCATGGTTCTGAACTTCTTATTGGTGGATTTCCTCAGAGGTGGCCCACTTAGGCTGGTGCTAAGAATATTTGAGATGGAGATTTCTTTCTTCTCACCTATTGTGTCAACTATACAAAAAGATGGGTAAAAGTAAAAAATGAAAAGCAAAAAGATACTGAGAATCCAAATGGAATGCAGTCGATGGCTCCTATTATCAATGGTGAGAAAATTTCCACCATCCCTGTTTCTTTCTGTGCCAGGAAACATGAGTTCAATCATTAATAAAATGTATATCTATTTTGTTCAGATGAGGGAAACTTGCACAGTAAAAGGTTATGTGGGTCATTGATTGTAGTTGTCCTTTTCCTAGATACTTTGTGATGGTGGGTTTCTGTCATGCAAGCCTCAATACAATGAGAAAGATTAATTCATCATATATACTAATAAGAAAATGTCATTCTCCACTTAATAATAAATCACAGCATTGTATACACTTCACTTGCAAATGTAAAGTACATTATGTGCTCAGCTTGCTGGGGGTTATGCCATTCCCATCAGGGACAGCTGCAGAGCAGTCAGAAATGTGAACAGGGATGGCCTTCGACCCCATTAAAACAAGCTCAAGTCAAGACCTTTTTGGTCAACCAAAAAGTTACTTGAGTCATTGTTTATTCATTTTATGTACAATTCTAGGCAATTCTGAGATGGTTTCTATTCCCTCATGTGCTTCATCCAATTATAAAGCAGAAAACTTTGTTACTAACTTTTCTCTGAAAGTAATGTGATGGGTAATTCTTTTTTACTTCTTCTCTCTCTCTTACAGATCTTTTGGGAGACTTGCCATGTGAAACGCCAAGGTAAGTCATTGTTTATGGATTGTTTTAGCTTATCATTTTAGTGGAAAAAGAAAGAAATGCTGGGTATGCTTTCGTTGACGTGGAAATTGTGAAGCAAGTGTTCACAAAATACAGCATGGCCAAATGATCAATACCTCAGGAAAAAGATCTCTGGTTTCTTGATTCTCAGACTAATGGCCTTTTCTTCTCCTGCCTTTGAGTTTCCCTAATTCTTTTTCTTTAAAAAAAAAATTGAAACTTGAGTTGCTTGAGTGAGGTTGTAACTAGAGAGGTTTCACTTCAAGTAATCACAAGAACAAAACATGGCTTTCAATCCCATTCCGGCGAGCATCAGGAAGGTTTGGGACACATGGAACCTCAGGGGCTTCATCATCCTGAGCCTCTCTCTTCAGACCATCCTCATCTTCTTTGCACCGTTCAGGAAGAGAACGGCCAACATGTTCATGATGTTCGTCTTGTGGTCGGCTTACTTGCTGGCCGATTGGGCTGCTGCGTTTGCAGTAGGACTCATTTCCAACAGCCAAGGCGATGACTCTGCTCTGGCCGACAACGGAGATCTCTTAGCATTCTGGGCACCTTTCCTTCTGGTGCATCTTGGCGGTCCAGACACCATCACTGCCTTTGCGCTGGAAGATAATGCCCTCTGGCTGCGGCACTTGCTTGGCCTTCTTTTCCAAGTTTTTGCCGCGTGCTATGTGTTCCTCCAGACACTGCCCCATAACAAGCTTTTAGTGCCAACCATACTGATGCTTCTTGCTGGGTTGATCAAGTATGCAGAGAGGACTAGAGCTTTGTATCTTGCAAGCCTGGAGACTTTCAAGAAATCCATGCTCAAAGAGCCCGATCCGGGTCCAAACTACGCGAAGTTTATGGATGAGTACTCGTCGCGGAAGGAGGCCAAGCTCCCAGCCCGCATCAATATCACCGGAGAACCCGACAGAGAATCTAAGACTATGACCTATGACGGCGTGAAAGAAGGGATTCTTTCCAAGAGCGACGTCGTGATGCATGCCCACCACTTCTTCGAAATCTTCAAGGGTCTAATTGTCGATCTCATCTTCAGCTTTCGTGAACGGCACGAGAGCTGGCAGTTTTTCCAGCAGAGGTCTGCAGAGGATGCTTTCAAAGTCATAGCGGTCGAGCTCAACTTCATGTACAAGGTCCTGTACACCAAAGTCCGGGTGGTACATTCTATAGTTGGTTATATTTTTCGGTTCTTTGCATTTGCGAATATCGTGGTAGCTCGTGTTGTTCACCTGCCTAAAGAAGAATGGATTCCATAGTTTTGATGTTGGAATTACCTACTGCTTGCTCTACGGGGCTGTTTCTCTAGATGCAATAGCTCTTTCTATGGCCATTTTCTCTGATTGGACTGTTGCTACCATAAAAAATATCAAGAGAAGATCCAAAATGGCGATCCTGTTTGATAAACTCGTCGGTGCACAATTCCTCTTGATAATGGATCGGAGGAAGGATTTGGGCAAGACTAAATGTCGAATAGGCAATGTTGAGTATGATGTGTTCGATACACCAGTAATGTTCCGAAGGTGGTCTGAGACCATCTCGGTTTACAACCTGTTATCCTATTGTCTGAAAGAGCGTCCAACAAGAATCTCCAAACCGCAGGGGTGCCTGAGCAGCTGTTTCGGTAAAATTGTCAGTTTTCCATGCTACATCATGGGAATGGTAATGTCCTGGCTAGCTCCCTTGGTGAATCAATTTCAAGTTGCTTATTTTTGGGCTGCATCTTCAGAGATGTTGCTCACGTTTCCAAAAAAATCTTCAGTTTTATCACTGATAAATTGGGCATAGCGGACATACTCGACGAAATCAAATATGTGTCCAGTAATCCCTTCATCAAGAAGCTTTGGGAGTTTATATTCGACGAGTTGCAAGACAAGGCGTCATTCGCAGATGACGCTGAGACGGCCAGGAAGATATGTGAGGCACGAGGTCGAGTACGACCGTAGTCTTCTATTGTGGCACATTGCTACGGAGATCTGCTACAACAAAGACGACAACCCCAACCCTGATGCCCAAAATTATAGGATATTCAGTAAGATCCTATCGGACTACATGTTATATCTCCTAGTGAAGCAACCCAAGATGATGTCCGCTGTTGCGGGCATCGGCCAGATTAGGTACCGAGACACCTGTGCCGAGGCCAGGAAGTTCTTCAGCAGACGGGGGATCAAAATGGTTTCTGAGAAGACTAAGAAGGGAGAGGAAAATGTGGCTAAACTGAAGAACGCTTGCAATAAGATCTACGAGGTGGACACAAGCGTCAAACCAGTGGATGTAAAGGGTGATCGGAGCAAATCCGTGTTGTTCGATGGATGCATCTCGGCCAAAGAGCTGGAGAAGCTAAACAAAGGTAAGTGGAAGATCATGAGCAGGGTATGGGTGGAACTGTTGTCATATGCAGCCAGTCATTGTAGGGCCGAAACGCATGCCCATGTACTTAGTAAAGGCGGTGAGCTAGTAACTTTTGTTTGGCTATTGATGGCTCACTTCGGTATTGGAGAGCAGTTCCAGATCAACGAAGGCCATGCCAGAGCAAAGCTTATCGTTGATAAGTGAAGCACCAGCACATCGATCTTCCTAGGATAAGGATGAATGCTTCCTTGAGGAATTCTGTTTCTTGTGTAGAGAAACTTTATTTGGCACTTGCAATGTTGGAAAATTTTCTTCCCAAGTTTTGTCATGCTTCATTTTCCAACATAGTACAAACCCGGAGAGCTCTTTTGCTCTTTCCAGTTCTTTTAGCAATCAGTAGTTCTTCTTTAGCAAGGTTTCGGCCTTGAGCTCACCGTTGCCACTCTCCCTGATAAGCAAAAGGTAAGACTGAAATAGGGGAAGGCTTTCCCTGTGGGTTTGAGTTTGCTTTCGTCTCCAAGTGCCAATCTTCTAAACTCAAGATTGCTCGTGCGCCTAAACTATGGTCATGTTTCTAATGAACTTTAACACGGTAATGGACTGTTAGCGTGTAATATCCCCAATTAAGGAAGTCTGGCTAAACGTATGCAATACTGGTGTGAAAGAACCTGCAAAACTTGTTGAAGACTTGAAGTTGCAGATTCATGAATGGGAACTAGACATCATGCATGGAATTTTTTTCCGACTATTTTTACGAGAAAATATTGTCTACTTACTCCGCGTACATCGGATTAACGACACTCATGTAAAGAAAAAAATTACTTCTTTCAGCAGGTTATATATGAGTTCTTAAACAATTTGCTACTTAGGAGGCATAGATTCATAATTATAACATACATTTTGATGCTTACACTGTAGAGGGTTGCAAATCACTCAACTTCGTATGCTTACCTCTTATCGATTTCACCTAACAGATTAAGTTTTTAGAAAGCAAAAGGTACGACTGAAATAGGGGAAGGCTTTCCCTATTCTTCTAAATTAAAGATTGCTCGTGGTCCTAAAATACGGTCATGTTTCTAATGATGTTTAACATGGTAATGGACTAATAGCATGTAAAATCCCCAATCAAGGAAGTCTGATTAAAAGAACGAAATATCAGGGTACAAGGACTCACAAAACTTGTCGAAGTTAAAGATTTGGATGGATGAGTTCTTGAATGGGTACTGGGCAACATGTACGGAATTTTCTTGACTACTTTTGCGAGAAAATATTGTCTTCTTACTCTGCACATATCATTGGATTAACGACGCTCATGTAAAGAAACAAATTTCTTCTTTCAAGGCTTTATATGAGTTCTTAAACAATTTGATACATAGGTAAATGAAAGACACAAGTTGATGTTTACACTATAGTGGGTTGAGAAACACTCAACTCCATATTGTGACCATCAAGCGCTCCTGAGATCATAAGAGAATTACCTCTTCAACATGTTATGATCTCAGTTGCGTGCAATCATTGCGTTGTAACCATTTGATACTTTTTGAATCTCGACAGAATGGTGTGGGCAAAAGAAAAGTGGCATATTCTGATCAAACACCCATGTAATCACAGTAGAATGCATTATAGAGGCCAAATTGCACGATCTCAATCAGGAAAGGCACCTATCTGTGCCAATTAACTCGGCAGGTGGTCCCAGTTCTGGTTAAGTCTTAAAACAGCAAAAGCATACACGTGCATCCTGTTTTTTCGCCCACTTACACATATACATCTTCGCAGTTCACACTATGTTGCATTGAGGATAACCTGAACTCCATATTGAGGGCGAGAATTGTGAAGTTCGACAGGGGAGTGGACATAAGCAGGGGAGAGGGTGAAACTGAATCGCTGCAGAATCATAGCAAGAACAATTTTAGCTTCAACTGTCGCGAAATTCAGGCCAACACAATTTCTGGGTCCAAGGCCAAAGGGAAGGAATTTCGCAGGATTGTTGTTTGTAGCCTTAGCAACTCCTTCTGAGAATCTCTCTGGCTTGAAAAGATGTGCATCATCTCCCCAAATTTGAGGGTCGTGGTGAATCTTTAGGATTGGTATGTGTACCATTATACCTGCAGGAAGAATGAGATCACCGAGTTTTGCTTGCCTAGTCACTTTTCTAGGGACACCGACTCCTGGAGGATATAAGCGGAGAGATTCGTTTATGATCATGCCCATCTGCACATACACAAGTGCCAGAGTCATTCATGAGGAGAAGAATAATTGAAGATTCTTCGAAAACACAAGAAGATAAAGAAGCTTGTGTTGTTCTTTGCGGTAGAACAATTTGGGTACATAGGCAAAAGTAGTCTCATTACAAGCATTATCAGACAGCTTTCGGAAATAGACATTTATTAGCTCTGTTTCAAGGAAAATTCTTTTACAATCACCTTCTCTTACCTTCTTGAGCTTTGTAGTTCCATTGAAATCGGGATCTTGATCTCCAAGTGTATCAAGGACCTCCTTCCTTGCTTCTTGTTGCCAATCAGTGTGAATTGCTAGGAGGAAGACTGTCCATGCGAGTAATGAGCTTAAGGTTTCAAATCCAGCAGAATAGAACGTCTTGCACTCAGCAATTACATTATCGAATGTGATTTTCTTGTTCTCATCAACATCGTGCATAGCCGTTAAAAGTAACCCTAGGAAATCATTCCCGTAGCTCTCCATCTCTCCGGAATTCATCTTCTGTTGTCTTCTTTTGATAATCTTTAACACAGCTTCTCGTAACCCTTTCTCAAGTTTCTCTGCCTCAATCTCAAAAGTCGGTTTCCAGAGCTTACTGTAACAACAAGAAGCCACACAAGCAAGTACTATAAAACCCAAGTATTTTGTTCATCTGCGAAACAAACTGTGATATGCAAGAACTCTAGGGGGTGCTGTATTCTGTTGCATCCTATCCGTCGTAAAAGTCCAAAAGACCAAAAAGCAGACACATCGAATAATGACCGCATTACATAGGATGACAATCATTCGAAGTCCTGTCTGAATGTTTTTACTACCCTCCATGTCGTAAAATTTATTTACCTGACTCCAGGTAATCTTATTTGTGAAGAAGCTTTTGCCATTGTCAATCCCAACTTAACCACGTTCTCAAAAACAGTTTTGCCTTCAACGTAGCTGCTCCCAAATGCAGTTTTCGATATTGCATCCGATGTGCACAGTTTAAATTCTTCATAAACATCGATTTCCAGGCATTCTCGATCACGCCATCTCTGGATCATAATATGAGCACAGTCCACCATTGCCGGAACCATACTCTGCAAACAAATGGATTGACATTCCATCATAAGCACAATTTGAAAAGCACTCTCATGTCCAATACCTCCCACAAAATTACTTCACTAATTCTAATTCCTACCATGTTTGTTTTGGAAGCAAGGCTCCCATGGCCAGCATACAAATAATGTCTCAAATGTACCTTCAGACTTCCCCCGTGAAAAGCGAAATTCGCCAGCTTTCGGTGCTTTGCCCATTGCTCGCCTTCAGATGTCACCAGTCCATCACCTACAAGCTTCTTCACTTGGTCTTGGAGGAAAATTTTTGAAAAAGTGTGGTCTTTATCATTAAGTACCTCTTTAACCATGTCCAGATCCGAGACAACTAGGAAAGCTTGAGGGCCATGCCACACCAAGAAATTTCTCCCTGCGACATTTTTTAATTTTTGTGAGTAACATAGATTGAAGAGTTAAGAACGAGCCTGTTCTCAAATACAAATCAATATCCTCTCAAACGGCATGTCACATCCTGTCCAGCAAATGGGTGTTCAGAAAGTACTTCGCAAGTGATATCTCGTGATCTTAACATCGATAAACTGAGTCAACTACAGGACTATTAATCACCATAAGTTTGAGCCCACTTGTGGAAGTGAGGCTGGACGTAAGGGAAAATATCGTGAGAAAGGCTCATGGGTCTGCTGGTGGCTTCCCTCTTCATTCGAAGCATCTCTGTGGTGCTTCCATGGAAGAACCCGTAAGCTGGACCTTTGATTCCTTGGGCAGCCATCTTTCTTTGCATTTGAATTGGAATCCACCATAGTTTGTGCAGCATTTTGATAACAAGAGCCAAGAGAAGAGAAAGAACCAGAGAGGACAATGAGAGCAACACACCATTTCTGAGGAAATCCATGTTTCTTTCGCGAGTGGAGCTGTTTTACAGAGCTATGAACTTAAACTACCATTGGACTGATTCTTGTAGTCCTTTGGTTTCGGTCCCATGAGGGGTGGTTCGAAATGCTGAGTGACAAAGACTTGCGCCGTATGACAGTATGTTTGACCTTCAGTACGAGTATGTGGCACAAGATTGAACACATGGATGGGGGTCCCCTGCTAATAAATGAATAAGACTTTAATTTTAGCTACTAGCTTGGTTCGTCTGCACAATTCATGGATAGAGAAACGATCAATAAGGCTAAGGTTTAGTCGTGCACGGCATGAAATGTAACTTGCAAGTTGCCCCCACTTCTGTCAAATGCTTATAGTTTCTTGCCAAAAGGAACTATTGCGGATTTGCAAAACAATAACGGATTTTTCATGAACAAAAGTTTTAACTCATGAAGCATTTTAAAAGTTCGACATTATATGAAGATAAAATCTGAAACCCTAAAAACAAAAATAGAACTTTCGCGCCAATAAATTAAATAGTATTCAAATTGAAAAGTTACGAAAATTTGATAGGTAAATAATTAAAGCAACATCCGTATGTTTTGAAAAGTTTAGGCCATCTCGCTTTAAGGAAAGGCAGAAGGTTTGATAGAAATAATAAAAATTGAGAAATAAAAGCCCTTCCAATTCAACCGATCGAAAAAAGTTTCATGCTTTCATTTGGGACCACACAACCGACAAACGTCGAATGCACCTCATGAATAGGGAGTCTATCTGTAAGCCTAAGAAATGTGGCGACCTTGGTTTTAGAGCTCTCGAATTGACTTATCAAGGGTTCGTGATGAAACCAGCGTGGGGCTCATAACGCAGCCAAGTCTCGGGGCACAAGCTCTAATCGCCAAATATTGTCCACATCCTAAACAGGACTAATATTCATGCTAAACCTGGAGACTCGATCTCAATGAAGGGAATTATGAACCCATGGCCGAAATTAAAGGAGGGAGCTTTGTGGAGCCTGGGAAATGGCAAACAAGTTAGATTTTGGATAGATAGATGGATTTCAGATTTGGAGCCACTCTATAACTTTATTATTACTCAAATGTCTCTCTATGAGATGGAGAGAGAAGTTTGCGACTATGTGTTAAATGGGAATCATAAATATCAAGTACTTCAAGCACTTTTACCATAAGATATAATCTTTCGAATTCGGGCTATCAAACCTCCTTTAGCCTGTGATGGAGAAGATAATCTTCTGTGGGAGGGTACTGGAAGAGGGACTTTCTCCGTTAAGTCAGCATACGATTTATTCGATAGGGTAGATAATCAAGACTCTGATGGTATATGGTCCGTTATTTGGAAGTGGCAGGGTCCACAATGTATTAAAACGTTTCTCTAGCTAGCCACTCATAAGCGACTATTGATTAATAAACTGAAAACTACTCGCAATTTGGGAGGAAACCCTTATTGCTTGATATGTGAATCTCGTGTGGAAACAACCTTACATGTTCTTCGGGATTGTCCAATTGCTCACGAAATATGGCTTGAGATTGTCCGGCAACATTGCTTGGAAGAATTCTTCTTAATGATTTTGTCTCAATGGTTCAAAGTAAATATTACTACCAAAGGGCGGTCAAACTTTCATCGCTCCTGAAGCATAACTTTTGGAGTGGTTCTGTGCTTTTCTAGCAACGGCGGAATAAGTCGCTTTTCCAAGTCAATTTTGTTTTTTCTTCAAATCCTGCACAGTTTATTCGGTCACACATGAAGGAAATCACCAACTTCTCATCTGTGAACAACTTACTGTCGAGTGGAAATCCTGCGTAGTTCATTCGTTATCTTCTTGTTTTCATTAACTTCATGAGAAGCTCTCAAAAGCAAACCTAGAAAATCATTCCTATAGCTCTCTAAGGGCCCGTTTGGCAAGTTGCCAAATAATAAAAATTTCTGTTCTTTTGTTCTCAGAATCAGTTTGGGAATAGAAATCCGTTTGTTAAATTTTTTGTGCCCGGACACAAATTTGCAAAAAATTGTTCCCAGAATCAATTTTGGAACAGAATTAAGAAGCAAAAAAAAAGTAGCTTCTTGATTTTGGGAACAATTTTTCCATTTCTGATTCTTCTTGGTTTGTTGTTCTTGTTCTTCCTAGCTTGCCGTTGGCCTCCGGCCACAAGCGAGGGCCGGCGAGGGCGGCTTGCGGCCATGACGGTGAGGCCTCGCCTAGCCATGGCGAGGCCGACCTTGCCGTAGAGACCGGTGAGGGCGGCGGCGAGGGCCGCTACACCCTCGCCGGCCCTGGCCCGTGGCCGATTGCCGGCGTCGGCGACCAGCGATGGCTAAGGAAGGGAAGGGAAAGAAAGAAAAAAAAAAGAAAGAAATATTAAAAAATTCAAAATATTATTAAAAAATTATTAATAAAAAGAAATTTTGTGTAGTTACCAAACACATTTCTGTTCTTTTTCTATTCTAAGAATAGAAATTTTAGGAAGTTACCAAACACCTTCAAATGTTTAGAAATTGTTCCCGGGCACAGAATAAAAAAGAATCATTTTTTAGCAGAATCAGTTCTCAGGTACAGAATCGTTGTCATGCGCACCCTAAGTCTCAAGAGTCCAACTTCTCCTGCCTCTGTTTAATAATCTCTAGCACGGCTTCACGAAACCCTTTCACTATTTTCTCTCCCTCGATTTTGTACACCGGTTTCCAAAGTTTCCTATTAACAAAATATCCATCAATTTGTATATTACAAACATTGATCCAATTTGTTATGATCCTGGGTAAGAATTAACTAAATAAATGAGCGTTTTTTTTCGCGATAGTACTCGTTTAAGGCCAAGAACAAGGAAGATTGAAATGCATATATCTACGGTGCTATGTCTATGTCAGATCAGATCTATGCCAGAGAGAGAGAGAACAAACATTGATTTACCTAACTATCGGAAAACTAGTAGAAGCATGCACCATTACGAGGATCAACTTGTTCACATTCTCAAATGTACTTTCGCCTTCAATATAGCTGCTCCTAAATGCTGTTTTTGATATCACATCTGACGCATACTATCTAAGTTCTTTACGAACATTGGTCTCTTTTTCTTCTCGGTCACTCCATCTCTTGAGCATCGTATGAGTGCAATCTACCATTGCCGGAACCATACCCTGCAAATCCATGCATAATAGACCTCTCTATAATTAGCACAACTTTTTTTAGCAACTCAGTGAAATTTAGGGACCGTTCTTGCAATCTTTGATGCTGTTGGGAAAAATAAAGTAAAGACTAAAGTACCTTTGGATTCATATTTCATGTTTCTACGTCACAGTGGCATAACTAATTCCAACATACCTTCAAGTTTTCTCGGAAAAAATGTCAAAAAAGTCATAAACATTTTGCATTGGTGCCAATTTAGTCATAAACTTTTTTTGGTACCAATTCAGTCCTAAACCTTTTGCATTGGTGCCAAGTTAGTCATAAACTTTTTTTTTGTGCCAATTCAATCCTAAACCTTTTGCATTTATGCCAATTCAATCCTAAACCTTTTTGTCTTTGTGCCAATTCAGTCCTTCCGGCCAATTTTGGCCTGATTTTGTTGATGTGGACAACTTTTAATAATATTTTAATTTTTTTGAATTTTTATTTATTTCTTTATTTCTTTTTTTTCCTCCCTCCCCTCCTTCCTCTAGCAGGTCGCCGGAAAATTTTTAAAAATATTAAAATATTATTAAAAGTTGTCAACGTCAGCAAAATCCGGCCAAAATTGGCTGGAATGACTGAATTGGCACAAAGACAAAAATGTTTAGGACTGAATTGGTACCAATGCAAAAAGTTTAGGATTGAATTGGCACCAAAAAAAAGTTTAGGACTAAATTGGCACAAATGCAAAAGGTTTAGGACTAAATTGGTACCAAAAAAAGGTTTAGGACTAAATTGACATCAATGCCAAAGGTTTATGACTTTTTTGACACTTTTCCCAAGTTTTCTCCATGGAAAGCGAAATTCGCCAGCTTACGATGCTTTGCCCATTTTTCACCTTTGAGATGTCGTAAGCCGGTCCCCTATATACTTCTTGACTTGGTCTTGGAGAAACTCTTTCGAGTAAGTGTCATCTCTATCGTTGAGGAACTCTTTAACCATCTCAGATCCAAGATTACTAGAAAAGCCTGAATGCCGTACCACATCAAGATATTCCTCCCTAATACATTTTTAGGAACATTTGAGAAAGCAAGCATAGATCAAAGCTCGTGCATTTTTCGTGGGTTATAAATAAGAATCAGGAACTGGAATAATTTACCAGATCAACGCGATAAACAAACTTGATAGACCTATGATACTCGAAAAGCAAGTGAATGGCTAAGATGCATTTTGCAGAACATGTGTTGATATCTAAATAGGATAAATTGAGTCAAGCTATTGAAAATGCCTCGATTTAAGCTGAGTTAAACTATAGAAGTAGAAACCCTCGCCGTTTGCTCTTCTCTTCCACCTCTTTCTGGTTCCCTTTTCTCTTCCACTCCAAGCTCCCTCGACTAAGAGTCGAGAGAGGCTCTATCTTCTCAACTCGAATTGAGATTTTCTTTCCCGATTTGAATTGGGAGTATCTTATTATTTTCATATAGTTTTTTTCTTTGTTCACTGTGATGCTCTTCCTTGCTCGCTTGGCTTATTTTCTGCTTTCATCGTAGGAATCGACTGCTGCTTCATCTTCCAAACCAAGTCAAACAGGATCAAGGAGAAATATGGTGAGTTCATGCTGCACTGGAAGCGGTTATATGACTTCACCGAGTTTTAGAAGCTCTCATCTCCCGATCTAGATCTAGATTTGGGAGCTCTTCTGTAACACCCCGGGTTTATACTGTGTAATATTCTCCTTTTTGGGACCACTGACCCTCACGGCTTAAAAACGCGTTACACAGATATAGAACCACAAGCCTTATAAGCCAGTCCAGAACTCCCCCCTAGGCGATGTGGAATAAAAGAGGCTCCCGCTCCCTTCCCTGCGCGTGTCTGAAGACCGAGGCGCGAACGCACCGCCATCCCTCCTCCCCACGCACTGCCGCCTAGGCCGTCACACTCTCCATCCCTTGCGAGCACAGCGCCCTCGTTGTGGCTCCACACGCGGTTAGAAGTCGGCTCTGATACCAC